GGCTAATGTAGGTAAGGATAATGGTGTAACATAAGTTATAAGAGGTAACAAGAAGCCTGACCTAATGGGCCAATCAGTTCATAACCTTATGGAGTCCTGTGTGTGATTTTCCTTGGGGTATCCCGGCTGTGGGGTAACAGGTGGGACAGAAACCCCAACAAGCAGGCCTGTCATTTTACAACTATTATAAATGACTATCCATTAATCTGTAATTTTTAATTATACATTACATTTTAAAATAAGATGTATAAACATAATACCTTAAACGAGAGTATAAATATACATACAACAAAATTGACCTTAAATTTGTATCACTAAACAAAAGTCCATGCCAATGTGAAGTATTTGCTTCTATATCATATCCACTCCCCTTTTTATAAAGCCCAGGAAAGCTTTTTTAAAAAAGGCTTTTAGACCCACAGAAACAGGAGCCATTTGGAGCTTCTTGGAAGTTGCATATTTTCATATAGGTTCTGCTTGCTGAGGCAAGCAAAGGAGCGGCTCCTTTAAAGACGGTTCCTAACTCAGCTTTGGCTGCAAAAACCTCGTGGCTCTTTTAAGAGGCTCTGCCACCAAACACTTAAATGGTGTTCATGAGTAGCCAGCAGCATGCTTCTCGGTGGTGGCATGGACCTAGAAACCACAGAGTTGTGGTAAAAAGCAAAGATCCCACCAGTTCCTCTGCTGCAAAGCTAGACTCCCAGAAAGCTAAGGAGTGGAGCCAATCCAATCGCTGGGAAACTAAAGCTGCAGCTTTAATTCTAGTCCTATCTCTTAGCAAATTTTAGACTCATGTGGTCAGAAAAAGAAAAAGATATACAATAAAAACAGATTCAGATAGGGAAAAAAACCTATACACAGATTACAGTGTGTTTTAAAATATACATATGTTTGGGAGAGAAAAGAAAAAGAATGGAGAAAGTCTTTTAAGAAAAAATAAATATAGTTGAGTGTGTTGGTGCACATATTTAATCACAGCACATGGGAGGCAGAGGTAGGTGAATCTCTGTGAGTTCTAGGTCTGGGCATGGTGGTGTAAGCCTTTAATCCCAGAACTTGGGAGGCAGAGGCAGACAGATTCTGTGAGTTTTAGGCCAGGCTGGTCTGCAAAGTGAGATCCAGGACAGCCACAGAACACAGAGAAGCTCTGTCTCAAAACAAAATAAAACAACTGATGGAGGAAGGTTATCTGTCTATTGTGTTATTTTCATTGGTCAATAAAGAGACTGCCTTGGCCCTTTGATAGGACAGAAAATTAGGTAGGCGGAGTAAACAGAACAGAATGCTGGTAAGAGGGCTATGAGGCAGACGCCATGGAGCCAGCCACCAGGTCAGACATGCTGAATCTTTTCCGGTAAGCCACCACCTCGTGGTGCTACAGATTATTAGAAATGGGTTAATATCAAGATATGAGAGTTAGTCAGTAACTAACTCTCTAGAGATAATGGGCCAGGCAGTGCTTAAATGAATACAATTTGTGTGTTGTTATTTCTGGGACTAAGCTAAGCGTGCGGGAGCTGGGCAGGATGAAAAGCAGGCCTGCCCGCAGTTCCCCACTACAAACAACAATAACAAACCTACAAAAATTAAAAATAAAAATAAAGGAAATAGAGTTTTTAAAAGCTACATGAAGATGGAAAATGCATAGAGTGTCAGGATACTGTATGTTATTATGTTGTCTTTGAATTGTTTGATGGCTGAGGAAGGAGCAACAGTTGCTAAAAGATATTTGATTATAAATGCTGTTGGATTAATCCAGCCTATATATTTTGAAAATACCTTGATGTCAAAATTTAAGTCAAAAGATACATTACTTTGGAGATGAGGTTTTGCTTTTGTTTCCACAGAAAATGAGAGGCTGTGGATTCATTCTGGGTTAAGTAAAACAACGTTTGACTGAAGAAGATTCCCTAAAAAATCTCCAGTAGAAGCAGATGGCCCAGACAATCAAACATTTCAGAGCACCTCTGATGCAGTTTCCTCTGAGTTCTATATCAAGAACAGCTTCAAGACTGCTGGCTGAGATGATCAAGCTTCACACATTCCAATTGGGGAACTGACAATAATCCTAATTTTTCTTTGGGTCTCATAATATAGTCTGTGCCCCCAATCAGCAGGAAGTTCCCTAGAAAACACCACTCACATTCCCAAAAAATGGATTATGAATGCTTGCCTTTGTTGAGGGTGTTGGTTAGAAGTTGTTATAGATAATGGCCAGCAGAAAACATAAACGAAGGAGATTGGTTTCAGAGTTCTTGTTTTGAAAGGAGAAAAGGGGGAAGTGCTGTGTGATAATGTTCTTGTAACCCTGTGAAGATATGTTACTCGCAATGGTTGAATAAAACTCTAATTGGACAGTAGCCAGACAGGAAGTATAAGCGAGGCAACCTGACTAGAAGAATTCTGGGAAGAAGAAAGGCAGAGATGTAATCACCAGCCAGTCTCAGAGAAGCAAGATGAAAATGCCTCACTGATGAAAGGTACCAAGCCATGAGGCTAATATAGAAAAGAATTATAGATTAATTTAAGTTATAAGAGCTACTTAGCCATAAAGCCTGAGCTAATAGGCCAAACAGTTTATGATTAATACAAGCCTCTGTGTGTTTTACTGAATGGCTGTGGGACTTGGCAGGACAGAAGCTTCTGTCTATAATGTCAGGTCTCAACCAAATTAATTTAAAAATGTACCAAAACTTCAGTAAGAATACCAAATATGTTTTTTAATTTATCTATATAAATGACCATAAAAAATATGACTAGGGTGAAAGTGAAAAGGAAAAACATAATAAAAAGAAAATACATAAAGCAGGGTCAGAGGTACGAAGGAAGCTGCAAGGGACAGACAGATCACCTAATGCTGAAACACAGTATAAAGCTCAAGAAAGCAATGCACCAATATTCATGGTACTGATCTCTCTCTCTCTTTCTCTCTCTCTTCTCTCTCTCTCTCTCTCTCTCTCTCTCTCTCTCTCTCACACACACACACACACACACACACACACACACACATTAGGATTCAAGAGAAGAAATTATGGTAAAACATTGTGATGCCAACCAAGTGTTTCAGAAACAAGAGAAACCTAAAACTTGCAAACAGTAAAGCTAGGTTCTTTGTCTTTTCCTGTAGAAGAATAAATTCTAAACAAAAATCAAATTATGAAATGAAGTTCTTGTAAGCAAGTTCCCTGGTTATAAACAAAATCTACAATAAAGAAAAGGCTTCTACCTAGTCCATATTATTAATGATCATCTGTATGGAAATAAAATGTCCAAGGTACAACCTAAGTTAGGAAGACAGATTGGAGAGCCAGGCACAGTGGCTTCTTCCTGTGGTCCAGCATTCTGGAACTGAAGGTAGGTAAGCTAGCCTTGACTACATGAGCAAATTCAATGCCAGCCAGAACTATTTGAGATCCTCTCTAAAACCCCAAAAAGGTAATGTATAAGGAAATAAGACATGTAAGTTATGCAGCAGCATATAAAATCTCTTCAAAATGGAGAGAAAAATTAAAATAAATTAAGATAAGAATGGGCAAATGGCGAGAACAGAAATTCTTAAAATTAAATTATTTAAGCTGGCATTTTTGATTTTAGAAACGATGAAAGTGAGAATTCCTGGGTGTATATCCCTGCTGGACATAATAATCATGAAGTAAATCAGTGTTTGGAAGTTTTAAACATATAACACAGGACTGTGGTCCTCGAAAGAGCCACCAAGAGCTGAGAACATCCTACCTACAGCATGGAGTGGGCAACTATGGGAGGCCACAGGCTCAGGCAGAAGCTGAAGGTTCAAAAGAGAGAAAACCACAGGCAGATGTAGCATCCTGAGGGAGACAGGAAGCTAAACCTCTTCCAGTCCTCAAAGGGTTGGAGATGTTCTACTCCTGACTAGCGAAGTGATGGATACCACAAGGATATTTTATATGTGCTCATTCTTTATGTTGGATTAATTTAGAGATATATTTAAACTTTTAACTTATTAGTATGTTCTGTTGAGACTTTTTCTCTTATTTAGAATTTTCAATACTTACAGAGGTCCATTAAGCACTTAATTATACTTCTCTATATTTTTGAGTCTTACTGGTTGTTTTTTTACTTTAAATCTGTTGCGATATTAGATAACAGTTGCAAAATATGATAGTTAAAATTGATTTAAAGTAAATTTCAGTCATTTAGTTACTTTTGCCATATTTTATAACTTATTTTATTTGGAGAAACTTTTGTGTTTAATTTAGATAAATTTTGAGTAACTTGGGTAAACATAAGCAACAAGTGCTCTGAGTTCCCATATAACCCAGCCCCTGGACATGCAGCTTTCACCTCAACACTCCTCAGTAAGACTTTTGTTAATACGGATAAACCAACAATGACAATAGCATCACCACGATGTCCAATAAAAGTGGGACTTGACAAAGAAATAACGATATATGTGCACTGCTGATGAATACAGAAGTTTCACTGCCCTAGAAACCATTAGAACTTTGACAGTTCATTCTTCCTGCTTTCAAACCTGGGCTACTAATAATTGCTTGAAACTGGCATTGTCCTGGCCACATCTCAAGAAATGCTATGATATTGGGTAGAAGTTCCCTACCACAATAGAAATCTCTTTAGGACATGTTTCTTTGCTCAAACCACAGGGAGGAGAAATGGAGCCCCACGCAGCTGTCTTTCTGCACATATCCATCCCCTCTCCCTGGATTGCCATGGTACTTTATCTGCATTTGCTTAGAAACTCAGATTCCTGCTCAGACACTTCTTCAATGTGTGTCCATTAGCAAATGATTTAACCCTTCTGACTCTTGGTTTCTTCATCCTAATTACTCATTAATCTGGTGCAAGGATTAAATTAGGTAAGCAAGGCAAGACAAATTGAAACATTCATCATACTAAGCCCTCGTTTGTAAACTCTTGTGGGTTAAGGGTCTGTCTCTACTAAATTTGACTACAATACTCCAAAGACGCTCACTGAAAGCAAATGTTAACGTTCTCTTTACCCGATCTGGATTTGTGTAACCCAACAGTAGGTTTGCAGCTTTTATATCACCATGGACATATTCGTTTTCATGTATATACTCCAGTATGTCCAGCTGTGAAAAAGAAATAGATAAGATTAGTATCAATGTTTTACACTAGAGTAAGGGTTTATTTACATGCATGGTAAAATAATGTATCTCACTATTATTGATTATCCTAAAGTATCATTTCTGGTTGCTCATCCCATAAAGGGTTGAATAAAATGATCCCCAAACATCAAATATTTGTACTTGAACCTCTGAGGGAGGGAGGGAAATCAATATTTAACAATACTTATTCTTATGGCACTGAAAGCCCAACGGTCAGACCAAAATGTACAAAGAGGCATGTGATGTTTAATCTCAATCGTCAAGTAGAAAAAAAAAATCTAGAATCATGTGGGAGATGAACCTCTGGGAATAGCTGTAGGGAATTATCTCGAGTAGACTAATTTTGAAGAGAAGATTTACCCACTGTGGGTGGCAGCATTCCCTGGGATGAAATTCTGAACTGTAGCAAATGAAGAAAGAGAGCTGGCACAGGAACACATCACACTTTCCTGACTATGGATGCAATGTCATCAGGTGCCCCAAGACTCTGTTGTTTGTGACTTTCCCAACAGGAGGGGCTATAACCCCAAATTATAAAACAATGTAAATATTTTCTCCTTTGATTTGCTTTTTCCAGGGTATTTTTATCACAGTAACATGAAAAGCAATTTAGGCTGGAAATAAATAGCTGAAAAGGAGATGAAAATAGTCACGACATCGATGAGTGAGAGAGTTCACTCATCAATCAACAGTTAGGATTCAAATCTTGAAGACATCAGAACAAAATATTATACCTCTGATTATTACCTGTGTAGTAACAAAATCTTAGGCATCATTAAAACCCTAGAACCTTGCGTGTTATACACACACACACACACACACACACACACACACACACGGGGGAAACATATATGAGAGAAGAGAGAGAAAGGAGAGAGAGAGAGAAAGAGAGAGAAGTGTTCTGCAAACACCTACTAAGAGAATGGATAGATGATCAGATAATGGAGAAATTAATTATTTTCCACATCACGGCCTGACATGAGCTGTTTCAGTCTACTTATGATTGGGTGGGAAAAAATGCAAGCAAGACACAAACAGATAAGGGAAATACGTGGTATGATCAACAAATGAATGCATTCAAGGTTATTTGTGACTACAATGCTTCATTGGTTAGCAGCATGTGTGTGTGTGTGTGTGTGTGTGTGTGTGTGTGTGTGTGTGTGTGTGAGAGAGAGAGAGAGAGAGAGAGAGAGAGAGAGATATCCATTGGTATAATCAATTGTTGCCACCACCCCCAAACTTATACTCACAATACTTTATATCAAACCATATCACATTATGCAAGAGAAGTAGTCTATTTGGCCATAATTTGCAGTTAGAAATGCAATAAACAAAAGAAAGGTTATTTTATAGCTAATCTAAGCTTGGTCTGATATACAAAACTAAGCTGTAAGGGAAAACTGAGTAATAGCAATGATCAAACACAGCATAGCCTGTCATCTGCAGAACCCATGGTTAATAATTTCACCAAAATGCTTTCTACTCTCTGTAACTGACATTGCTAGGAAATAATCTTTATTTTCTCATAATTCTGTAAAAAATGCAACAAGAAAGTAATCTAAAGTTGAGGCATTTGAAGTAAAGAATCTTAAACTCACCACCCTGATTCCAAGCTGCAGCACAGTTGACTTTTTAAAAACACCATTCTTGTCTGAGAGCTTTTGTAAATCTATTCCCAGTCTTTCCATCACCATGAATCTGTAACTGTAAGAGATATCAGAAAAGAGATCTTCCTGAAATAAAAATTCTGAGATTCTCTCTTAACAAATTTTAAAGGACAATGCGTGCCACCTAACAACAGGATAATCAGTCCAAGCTGCTGGAGAATGCGTGCACAATAACCCACTATCCCACCACTGCTGCCACCCATTGGATACCGTAACCTACAAGACCTGCTCTGCCGCCCAAGCCCACTGAACCCATCCTCCTTCCCCTGACCAGTCATGCCTCTGCAAGATCAACAGCCCCTAGAGGCACAAGTACCACCTGTACCAATTGAAAGAAGAGGTCAGTGACTGGTAACCCAAATAAACTGACCCAATTCTTAGGCCATAAGACCCAGGTCACATCTCATGCCCACCCCCACCCATTTCAGTCCCAGCAGAAGGTCAACAGGCAAGAGTCCAGGAGGCAGGACTCTCCACCACCACTGCTAGCCACCGGACTCTGTAACCTACAAGACCCACTCCTCCACCCAAACCTACCAAATCCATCATGCTGTCCCTGACCAATCATCTGCCACGAGATCAGCAGGCCCTAGAGGCAAAAGCAACACCTGAATTATCCAGACGAGCAGCCTCTAGAGACACAAACATCACCTGCACCAATTGGAATAAAAGCAACCTCCTCTCGAAGAACCCTCTTTGGAAACATCAGCAGAACCTATAGGTGCAAGCGCCACCACACAAGTAGGAAGAACAGGCCCCAAAGGCACAAGTAAAGTCCACACCAGCCAGAAAAACTGGATGATACACTGGATCTACACACCCAAATACCCAGAAACCTCACCTGAGACAACCCTACTCCAACTGACAACCAGCCAATTACCAAAATCCTTGACCAATCAGGCCAAAAGACAATGAAGAAAATGGACAACAAAAAAACAAAAGACCCAAACAACAAAGACATCACAAGAATAAACACCCGACTATAGTTTTCCCAAACCCAGATGGGTAAATGGAAGTGTAAAAATACATTCAAAATCATAAAAAGCAAAAAAAAAAAATGGCATCACCAGAAACTAGTGATTATTCAACAGCAAGATCTGAACATCTCAACACAAATGAAGCAGAAGAAAGCAATCTTAAATATAACATTATGGAAATGATAGAAAAATTTTAAAAGGAAATAAAAAATCCCTTAAAGAAACAGAGGAAAAGGACAAATTAAAATTGAAAGAAATCAATAAATCCCCTAAAGAAAGCCAAGAAAGCTAAGGAAAAAACAACCAAAATGGTGAAGGGAACAGTTCAAAATTTGAAAATTGAAATAGAGGCAATAACGTAAACACAAACCGAAGGAATTCTGGAAATGGAAAAACTGGGTAAATGAACAAGAGCTACATATGCGCACACAATCAACAGAATATAAGAGATAAAAGAGAGAATCCCAGGCACTGAAGATACAACAGAGGAAATAAATTTATTGATCACAGAAAAGTTTAAATCGAACAAATTTTTAACATAAAACATCTAGGAAATCTCAGACACCATGAAAAGACCAAACCTAAGAATTATAGAGATAGAAGGAGAAGACTACCAGCTCAAAAGCAAAGAAAATATATTCAACAAAATCATAGAAGAGAACTCTCCAAACCTAAAAAAATAACATGACTATGAAGATACAAACAGCTTACAGAACACCAAATAGACTGGACCAAAAAAAAAAAAATCTTCTTGCCATGTAATAAAACACTAAACATACAGAATAAAGAATATTAAGAGATGCAAAGGAAAAGGCCAAGAAACATATAAAGGTAGATCTATCAGAATTACATATGTCTTCTCAATGGAGACTCTGAAAGCCAGAAGGTCCTGGATAGACATTTTGAAGATACTAAGAGATCACAGATGGCAGTCCAGACTACCATACCCAACAAAATTTCAATCACTATAGATGGAGGGAAAAAGATATTCCATGACAAACCAGATTTAAATAATACTTATCAACAAACTCAGCCCTACAGAAAGAACTAGAAAGAAAAGAACAACCCAAGGAAGTTAGCTGCACCCATGAAAAACATAGTCAATAGATAATCTCAAACCAACAAATCAAAACAAACAAACAAACAAACACTCAATACCACCAACAAGGAAAAAAAGCAAAAATAACAGAAATTAATAATCACTGGTCATTAATATCTCTTAATAGCAATGAACTCAATTTGCCTATAAAATGACATAGGCTAAGAGAATGAATACAAAAACAGGATCAATCCTTCCGCTGCATACAAAAAACACATCTCAATCTCAAAGACAGACACTACTTCAGAGTAAAGGGTTGGGAAAAAAATTTCCAATCAAAGAGACCAAAAAAACAAGCTGGTGTAGCTATACTAATATCTAACAAAATAGATTCAAACTAAGATTAATCAAAAGAGATGGAGGTCATTTCATATTCGTCACAGGAAAAAATCCATCAAGATAAAGTATCAATTCTGAACACTTATATCCCAAATACAAGGGTACCTACATTTGTAAAAGAGACATTACTAAAGTATAAATCACACATCAAACCTCACATACTAATAGTGGGAGACTTCAACACCCCACTCTCACCAGTGGACAGGTCTACCAGACAAAATGTTAACAGAGAAATGAGGAAACTAACAGATGCTATGACTCAAATGGCCTAAACAGACATCTATAGACCATTTTACCCCAAAACCAAAAGAATATACCTTCTTCTCAGCACCTCATGGAGTGTCCTCTAAATCTGACTACATACTTGGTCACAAAGCAAATCTCAAAACATACAAAAAAAAATTGGAATAACCCTCTGTATCTTATAGAATCAGTGAGAACCCAATAATAAGACAAATTACAGAAAGCCTACATGATGTGGGATGTCTTTCTGTATACCATGAATATGCTTTATTATGGTTGTTTAATAAAGAAGCTGATTTGGCCAATACCCAGGCAAAATAGAGCCAGATGGAAAATCCAAGTGAAGATATAGGGAAAAAGTAGGTGAGTCTCAGAGATGCCCATAGCCATTGTGGAAGCAAGGAGTGAGATAATACCATGGCCATGTGACAATACACAGATTAATAGAAATGGGTTAATTTGTGTTGTAAGAGTTAGTTAATAATAAGTCTGAGCTAATAGGTCAAAGAGTTTGGTACTGGCATAAAAAGTGACATATGGATCAATGGAATTGAATCAAAGACATAGACATAAATCCATATACCTATGAATATCTGCTTTTGACAAAGAAGCCTAAAAATTATACAATGGACAAAAGAAAGTATCTTCAACAAATGATTCTGGCATAACTAGATATCAACATGTTTATTTGTTTGTTTATGCCCAGGTAACGCTGATGCATGCATGGGCAGCCTGTAGATGGGGGGTTCTGTTGAACTTATCCATATAGGGTTTCATTGTCTATGTTGATATGGACAGCTGACCAGGTCTTTTTCTCAAGAGGGCACCAAATCTCATTACAGATGGTTGTGAGCTACCATGTGGCTGCTGGGAATTGAACTCCAGACCTTTGGAAAAGTGGGCAATGCTCTTAACTGCTGAACTGTCTCTCCAGTATCTTCAACAAATGGTGCTGGCATAACTTGATATCAACATGTAGAAGAATGGAAATAGATACATATTTACTCCCATGCAAAAAACTCAAGTCCAAGTAGATCAAAGACCTCAACATAAATCCAGTTACACTGAACCTGATAGAAGAGAAGGAGGTAAGTATCCTTGAATGCACTGGCACAAGAGACTACTTCCTGAATATATAACATCAGATCAACAATTAATGAATGGAAACTGAATGGAGACTTTCCTAAACTGAAAGTCTTCTGTAAGGCAACGGACACAGTCAGTAATACTACCAAACAGGAAAAGATCTTCACAAACCCCACAACTGACAGGAGACTGATCTCCAAAATATATAAAGAACTTAAGATATCAAATAATCCAATTAAAAATGGGGTACAGAGCTAAACAGAGAATTTCCAACAGAATAATCTCAAATGGCCAAAAGACATTTAAGGAAATGCTCAACATCCTTACTCAACATGGAAATGCAACTCAAAATGACTCTGAGACAGAATCTTACACTTGTCAGAATGGCTAAGATCAAAAACACCTATGACAGCCTATGTTAGAGAGGATACAGAGTAAGAGAAACACTGCTCCATTGCTTGTAGAAGTACAAATTTGTACAGTCATCTTGGAAATCAGTAAGGCGGTTTCTCAGAAAACTGGGAATCAATTTACCCCAAGATCCAGCAATACCACTCTTGGCCATATACTCAAAGGATGTTCAATCATATCACAAGGACACTTGTTCAACCATGTTCACAGCAGCATTATTAGTAATTGCCAGAACCTGAAACAACCTAGATGCCCCTCAACTGAAGAATGGGCAGAGAAAATGTGGTACATTTACACAGTGGAGTATTATTCGATGGTTATTAAAAAAATGACATCACGAAATTTGTAGGCAAATAGATCAAAGTAGAAAAAAATCATTCTAAGTGAGGTAACCCAGACTCCGAAAGACAAACACGGTATGTTCTCATACATAAATCAACATAAGATGTAAAACAAAGGATAACCAGGCCACAATCCACAGCCTCAGAGAAGCTAGGTAAGAATGAAAAAAATTGCTGGCAAATAGATGGAACTAGAAAAAGTCATTCTGAAAGAGTAACCCAGACTCAGAAAGATAAATATGCTATGTATTTGTCTATATCTGGATATTAGCCATTAAATAAATGATAACCAAGCTACAGTCTGTAGACTCAGAAGTTAGGCACAGAGGAAAAGACTAGGAGGGATGCATGGTTCTCCTCGGGAGTGGGGAGAGAATAAACTCTATGGGTAGACTGAGCCAGGGTGAAGGTAGAAAGTGGGGAGACTAGCACTGGAGTATCAGTTGAGAAGGGGGAGGAAAGATGGGAATGAGGAGAGAGAAAGCTAGGAATGAAGAGCATTTGAGGGCCTGTATGAACTCTAATGCAGTGGGAACTTCCTATAAATATACAAGGGTGATCCTAATGAAGTCTCCAAATATTGAGCAAGAAGGAACCCCTACTGGCCGTCTCTTGTAACCAAGTGAAGTTTCCAGTGCTAAGACTGGGTTTCATCCAACTGAGTTGTTGGCCAAAGGGGTCCTATGAAAATCCCTAAACAACTCAGGTATTGCCAAGACAATAAGTTGCTTTCCATAAACTGACAATAAGATCCCATTGTTGAAGACAACACCCACACAATTCACTGGGCATGGAGAGGCCCACATAGAACCTTCACCCCCATGTTCTAGTTTCTGTGACACAGAGAGGTACTCTGCAGGCTACCAAAAGAGAAAAGTAAACATCAACCCAGCCACGAAACCTTTGATCTACAAAATATGTTAGGGCAATGGTGGCACAAACCTTGTGGGAGAGACCAACCAACGTGTGATTTGACTTAAGGACCACTCCATGAAATGGAACACAAACTGAACACTGCTTGATTGTCCAAGAATAAGAGTCTAGATGGCCCAGTGACCTAGGGTCAAAGCAAATACTACTAGTCTTTTAAAAAAATTAATAAAATGACTCTTACTGATAATCTGCTATGCCAGCCAATAAATGAATCAGAGAGGATTCCTCCTGCAGCATGGAAACAAATATAGAGACAGAGACTCACAGTCAGACATTAGGAGGAGAAAGAGAGACCTTCAAACACTCGGATATAAATGGGATGTCTCCATCAAAGCCCTCCCCTCAGAGCTAAGAGAACCAACTCATGAAAGAGATGGCAGAAGTAGGATGGGAGACAGAGAAGATGGGAAACACCAGAACAAGGCCCTCTGAATCAACGTAGGAAGGCTCATAGAAACTCACAGAACTAACACGCAACCACAAGACCCACACGGGTATGCACCAGGTCCTATGCGTGCGTACTATAGCTTTCACTTTTGTGTTTTTATGGGACGCCTGGACATGTGAACAAGTGGGTCTCTGATTCTTGTCCCTTATCTTGGGGCTATTATATTTTTCTGTTGGCTTGTCTTGTCTAATTTTATCATGATGGCTTTTGCTTTATCTTATTTTATTTTCTTTTGTTGTGTTTGGTTGTCATTACCTAGAATCTGCTCTTTTCTAAAGAGAGACAGAAATGGAGTAGATCCAGATGGGAGGGAGGTGGGAAGCACCTGGGAAGAGTAGAGGGAGGGGAAACCGCATTCATATGAAGAAATAAACAAATACATAAAAATTTTAAAGAAAGACCTGCGTTCTTACTATTAAGACTTTATAAGTACCAGTTTTCATCACTGCTACACTGGATGTTGCTATGTACATTCACAGAGTCTTTAGGCTCTACAGTAGTGAACACTGGTGAAGGGTCACTGGCTCACTAAAGCATGTGGCTCTGCCAGGCCTTACCCTATTCCCCCATTCTCTCTTCCTTGCTAACCCATTAGATTACATTTCTAAAGTTAGCCACCAAGGTCTACTCCCTTATTTGACCACTTCTTCCTCCTAAGGCTGACTACCAAGGTCCAGCTATCAAAGTACTGATGTCCAACAATCAAAAGCCTCATTTGGCTTACCTAATTAGCATACACAATTAAACACCTCATTCTAACATGAGGTTTCCCCCTTTTCCTTTATAAACCACCATTTTTCTATGTGCCACATCTGTCTCCTCTCTATCCAGAGGCAATCCTTTGTCCCTCCAGGGCAAATACCTCTTCCTCTTCACCCTTCCTCCCTTTCCATCCTCCCTTACCCTCTATCTCCTGTCTTTGTCTTTTATTCCCTGACCTCTGCTCCTCTGGGAAAAATCTATCCTTGTGCTGAGAAATTGGTCTTGAGCTGACACTGGTCCTTTCAAGGGTTCCATAGGTGATCCACCCACTGACCACAAGCTCAGAGTTATCCTCAGCTGATGAGATCTGTTCTCAGTCATCAAGAACAGAACTAAGTTTATCCATGTACTTCAGCGTGAGCAGGCTCCTCCAGCCTTCACCCTTTGATGGTCCTGTTGCCTCTGGCTTTCACACCACTTTGTATGGATGCCTCTCATGCTGGTGCTGAGACAAGTTAAATTCAGGTTCTTGGGCTTGTGATTTCTCCAAGGGCTGTCTACTGCCCTATAAATCATGCTGAGTGACAAAACAGTTTGTTTGTTTGTTCTGCTGTTGACCATCAGAAGAATCATCATCTCACTAAAAGCCACAACCTGTATTAAGGTGTTGTAAGACAAAACATTTTCTAGGGAGACATAACACACACATCTACTCGCCCCCAGATAGGAAACCCACAACAAAACAAAACATGGATACCACCGAAGTCCAACTTGGTGAATCAGTGAGTTTTACTGGGGTTACCGACAGGAAAATGGGCCAGTTACTTAGAGGAGCAGAAATGACTCAAAGAGCTACATAACCAAAGCCGACCACAGCATGGTTCACAGCTCAGGAAGCTGAGAACCAGGAGCATATTGCAGAGGCTGCAGGAAGCTCACTGGGGGAAGTGTCCCTTCCAGGTGCCTCAGTTTGGCTAAAGCTCTCCCAGGCAGCTCAAGCTGGTTCTGCTTCTTCTAGGCAGTTGGTCTGGTCTGAGAGACTGAGAGACTATTTGTGGCTTGGTTTTGCTTCCTCTCAGAGGGGCTTTCAGCTTCTGTTATTTGCTCTGGCAGGGAGGGGCCTAGAGTCTGTTCAGTTTCAAGGACTCTGATAAGGCAGTTTGATTGTTGATCTCCAGCTTCAGAAGCATCACTGCCGGATGGAATGGTTCAGGCTTGGAGGAAACTGTCACCCAACGTGGGGCTTGTGAGGGATACGGAGATTGTTCTGAGGACTTGTTTTGGGTGTTTGGGTTGGTTGGTTTGGTGTAGTTTGGTTTGGCTTTACCAGAATCTGTCTGTATTACCTTTGAGATGAGGTTCGGGCTTCCCCTCCACCAGTAAAGGAAATATGTGGCTGGGGCCCTGCATCTCTTGGTTTCTTTTAGGGTATGTTGCCCATCTTTGGTGCCACACTTCTGGTGAATCCTATCACTGTGAATCTTCAAAGGTCTTCCTCTTTTTAGGAGAGTCTTTTTTTTTTTTGACAGTTATCCTTAACCAGAACACACCAGCAACTTTTGCTCTTCCATTTTACCCAGAATTCTCTCTATCCTTTCTTCAGTAGTATGGCACATAATTCTGAAGCCAACTCTTACAGTGCTAGATGATTTATCAGTACATGTAACATGCTACGGATGCCTCATGATTTCTGTAGTCCATTCAGGACCCTGTAGGAAGCACTTTACTTTATTTGTACTATTTAAAGGTATCTAAACAAAGGGCTGACATCCAGGCCTGTTTTCTCACATCTAAAGTAAAACTATCACCTGTCTAAAATTGACAAAGTAGGATAACATCTATGACATCCCCTGCAACAGAATTGGTGCAAAATAAGTGACTTTTCTAAAATCATAATTAATGAATTTTGTATGTGCTAATAGACACATTCAAGGCTAGCTTTAAAAAATTTTTGCTGTTTCCCCTCAAGGTGAACAGTGATTTTTTTCTCCTAGTTTTCAGAGGTGACACAGTAATTGACTGCTGACAAAGAGAAGGAGGCTGTGTACACACTTCTCTGTGCATTTAGATTCATAGTCTCTCTCTGTGTGTGTGCATCTGTCTCTATCTCTCTCTATCCCCGTGTTTGTGGGTGTGTGTGTGTGTGTGTGTGTGTGTGTGTGTGTCTGCCCTCTCTTCCACCCTCCCACTGTCACTGGGGAAACCCGCTGTGCTCTCTTTTAACACACAGGTACCTCCTTGCAGGGACACCTTAGGATTGTCAACAGTCATAGGAATGACCACTGAAAGACGATCCTTCCCTGGTAGGACCTAAGATGACAGCAGCCTGGAAGACACCTGGTTGCATTCTCCAGAGAGACCAGAACCTAGAACCAAGCCGATGAGCCACCAGAGGCTTCCTGATGCCTAGGAACCAAGATATATTTTGAGTTGCATCAGCTAGATCACTAAGGAAAGGTTTGTTGGTAATAATAACTGATCATATGAATTTGATATGATTATAATTTGCTTTTACCTTCTTCCTTTAAAATCGGTCAGACCAAATCCATAAAACAGAGGAACTCCTAAATAATCAAGTTTTCTCTGTGCTGTCCACTTTTGAACTGCGGAGGAAAGTTAACAAAAAACGTGATTTAGAAAAGTACCTTTGTATAGATGCTAAGACTTAATTATCTAAGCAAAACAGTAATCAGACCTAAGAAAATAAAAACTAAATAAAAATAGATATATCTATGTCATGGTTTCAAACTTTTTGTTTCCAGTATAATTAACACAAAATACATGTTTAGAAACAAAATTAATAGTACCATAAAAGACATAGTCTTACAAAGTAGATTGTTATCGTTCAAAAATATTTCTCCTCATGAAAACAAGTCATTTCATTATATGCTAGCTAAGTTTCTACACGTAACACATGTTGACTACAAAGGAGGGCACCTATTCTTACTACTGCCTTCATTTCAGAGCCTACAACCATGTCAATCTAAAAAATACAAATTGAGCAGAAGTACCTGACTCTGAAATTAAAAGTTATTTATTCTGTAAAACAACTGTTTTGAATAAATTTTGTTTACCAAAAAAAAATCATAATTGAATTGTTTAATCCAGTTAAACAATCGGGTAGTTTAATCACTGTTTTCACTTCTCTCCCATATGTGTTTCATGCTTAAGACAGCTTTCCTGATAAAAACAATCAAATTTAATGGATTCTATTTGTCACTGTGACACCGTTGAAGCAGTTGGTGGAGACTATAGTCACAGTGTTTAGAAGCTTTATTAAGGAAACCAAAGTTAATTATTCAGGCCAGATCCATCATTCTTTCTCCTAAACAAGATAGAGAGGACTTTGCCCATTCTAGTCATTCTGACTCCTCCCAACTTCCACAGTGTCTCCCTGAGCTCTCAGAAGCCTCTCCACTGTCCTTCATCTCTGCTTACACTCACTTCATATTCAGATCTCCAACTGGCCGTTCTTACTTATGATATCTAGCTCCAAATAACTTCTCAACATTCACCTTTCTACTAGTTTCGTAAATATCACAACATGTAATCATTTTCAAATACGTTAATCCACCTTTTACCCTTCCCTGTGTGTGTGTGCATGTGTGCATGGGCGTGCTCTCCCTACTTTAGTTTTGTCACTATATAGTTCTATCTATGCTTCTTTATAAAAGAAATAATTTCTTTCTACACTCTTTTATGCTTAGAGAATTCTTGATAATTCCACAAGTCAGCATGTTATGTAAAGTAGCAGAAAAACTTTGACTTAAAATATATAACCCATTATGTGTGCCATATCAAGATGTGTATACCATCTGTCTTGCTTTTATATGTTATAACAGTTCAGTATATCACTTTACAATAAATTTCATATGGAAAAGAATTTTCCAGAAGGCCAGAAAAAGACCAAAATATTAAGCCTCCCTTTAGCAAGTCCACACACGGCATAGCTGCTTAGCTATTTCTACTTACTATATTCTCTTTTTGCAGCTCTCTGATAAAATTTAAGTTCTGAAAATAATGGACCATTCTCTTGGTATTCCTATGAAAGAAAAATAATAATAAAGTTTAATAGGAAGACTTATCCCAAAGATAAAACAAATTGTATTTCAACTGTGAACATATAAGCGTACACATGCAAAATATGTAATAGTTATAGAATTCTTCTTCATCAAACGAGCACCAGATTTCTCCTTTAAAAAAACCACTAAATAAACTTGAAAAGTCTCATTTTAGACAACATATTGTAGCTATCCCAATATATTCTTACACATGAAGGAAGTCTTCTGCAAAGATCGTCCTAAAAGCAATGAGAACTGTGCACATAAATAAGCACTGGCTGTGTGCCAACATGTCTTCAGGGCAGGCACACTGAGACGTACCATGGGGTCCCCTCACACATGACTCCTTCACTAACTGAACTACATGTTATTCATTGTGCTAGGCCCAGGGGACAAGAACAGAAGTGGAATCCTAAACCACTCTAAGGGCCTTCCTACCTAAAAGAGTGGAGGAAAGACTGTATTTTTATGAAAATAAAGCAGAATGGGGGAAAAGTCAGAAATACAGGACTATAAATGTAAGAACAAAACTTACCACTTTTATTACATGTCTTGCATCTTTGTTTGGTTTATTTGTGGGGAAAGCTGCAGAAAAAAAGAGACAAGTGGAAAATAATAGTTATTCCAAACCAGTACATATCTACCAAATCACAGAGAGATCTTAGATAGAAGTCCATGAACTAGATTAACCCCAAAGCCTCTCACAACTGTGGCCCCATCTCTACTTATAAAAGCTGCTGCCGAAGCTGGGGAAATGGAATAAATGTCTCACTAAGAAAAACAGATTGGGGTCTGAAACTCATGTCTATCTGACACGGAATACACTACTTATCATATTCTATAGTCAGGTATTCAGATATAAGAAATGAACAGATAATGTTAATCACATGTTCCAAGTGCAGGAAAAGGTAAGAAAGCTAAAACAGATGAGATTAAGCATGTTCAAGGGTGTTCCAAGGATATAGTTCTCACATATATGCCATGGTGGGCTTCTCTTTAATCCAGCTGCCCAAATGACCCATGCTCCTGTAGGAAGTCCCTCATCCATGCTCCTGTAAGTAACACCAATAAGTTTGCTAAACTAGTTTTAGGTAAACCTTCGGTCTGTCACTGGCATCATATCTGGGGCTTCCTCAGGAAGTGGCATGATGTATGAACACAACCAACAAAACCAGAGAGATGCTAGAGAGAAACAATTACAATGGAAGATAATATATGCAACTAATACTAATCTGTCTGTGGGTGAAATGACAGAAGGGGCAGTCCTGATATGGCTGCCTTTACCCATGTTGTATGGAATGATGTGGCTTCTCCCTGTAGTGACATTTGCATGTTCCCTGCTATGTTTTGTAAGACAAGCAAGTAACTAGCTTGACCAATCTGAGGAATGGAAGCGCTTGGGAGGAACACCAAGGTTGTTGTCTTCCCTAATCTGGTATGGGGGTGGCATGTCTCCTTGTTGAATAGGGTCTGTCCCATGCCCCCAAACCAACCACCAATAGACCTGAAAATGTACAATAATCCTTTGAGACCAGCATGTACAGGAGAGATCTTCAGCCAGATACACTGTTAGTTGTACGGTCTCTCTGCTGTGAGCACTAAAACAACTAAAGCTGGCCTGTCTGCCCCGGAAGAACTGGTCCAAATAAGAAAAAAAAAAAAGTGGGTGCTACTTTAATGTGGTAGGAAAGGGGCAGAGGTGAGGGGGTGAGGATGAAATGGAGATGGTGAGTGTAAGTGTCGGATTCCCTTCTTGGGATCCAAACTTGGGCTCTGAGGGATAATGAGTCCATAGAAAAAAGAGGGAGATGTCAAAGTGATAGAAAATATTCTTCTGGTCCAACCTCTACACAGAGGAAAGGAAAATCCATGAGTCTGCCTCCACATGGGGGCCTGAACCATGGCCCAGTAGAGGAAATTATAATCCTCACAGGTACTCATCACCTGAACTATATGAATGGAAAAGAGAAAAGTAGGAAATGAAGGAGCCCACGCTCAAGCCTGACTCATGAGGTTATTGAACATATAGTGGATGAGGTCAATCTGAGTGACACGGAAAAAGAAAAAAAGTATGAAATTTCCCATTCCTTCTTGAAACCAAGGCTGCATACACACGCAAAATCAATCCCTGAGTGATGAGTCCTATGAGTCATTAGCCACTTGCTTCTCACTAGCTGAAGTTCCCATGAGCATCACTAACTGGAAAGCACAGGAGGAGGACAAGCATTTCTGAGGGAAATGGACATGTGAGAGACAGTGTTCGCTGCTTCCTTCACTGAGCTAATAGAACTATATTCACGGGAGACTTAAGAAAGGGGCCAATCCAGTAGGGACTTGGCAAGTGGTATGGGGTTTCAGGGACTTCGCTGAACCTCATGGTGAGAATAGATCTTAAGGAGCTAGAAGAGGCTGTGGCACATCACAGCGATTTAGACAAGCATGTAAATAAATCAGGATTATACGGTACTAAAGCACTTGTCCAGGTTACTTAAGGGAAATGCATCAGCATTAATGGCAAGGCAGAGTTCTTAGGGGAAACAATCAGACAGAAAACTAAACTCTGTCCTAGTAAGAACAACCAAGGAAAACAATACAAATACAGCTTATGCTGGTGAGTGTGAGGAGTAAGGGGAAACACTCATCCAATGGTGGTGGGAGTGCAAACTTAGACAGCTTCTATGAAAATCAATGTGATGGTTCCTTAGAAAGCTGGGAATATTTCCACCTTAAGGCCCAGCTACCCCACTCTTTGGTATATACCTACAGGACTCTATAACCTACTACAGAGACACCTGCTCAACTATGTTCACTGTTGTTCCATTCACAATAGTTAGAAACTGGAAACAGTTTAGATGTCCATCAATCAAAAGTGAATGGAAAAAGAAAATGTAATACATTTGCACAATGCACTCAGATTTAAAAAAAAACAAAAAAAAAATGAAATTCACAGGTAAGTAAATGGATGGGACCTGAAAAAAGAATCATCCTAAATGAGGTAACCTAGAGCAAAATAGAAAATTATAATATGTATTCACTTATATGTAGGTATTAGCTGTTAAACCATACATAAGCTTGCTACAATCTATACAACCACAGAGTTAGGCATAGAATGAGGGACTGGGGGAAAGGAGAGTTTCCCCAAGAATGAGAAAAAACATAGATTATTATAAATTGAATGGAAGAGGGGAGAGTGGAACTCAAAGATCAAACGGAGAGGGGATGTAAAGAGGGCCTTAAGTGAGGCAATATGGGGAAGAGCTGCAAAAAAACATAGGGGGCCATTTGAGGGGCTGTCTATAAACCTAATATAGTATAAGATTCTTAAAATAAATACATACATAAAAGAAATATAAATTGTCATTATCAAATAATAGGGAAGGCAAAGCCATGAGTAGATATTTCTCACTACCAAATAAAACCTCCAGTGCCCAGAATAGGTTATATCTAAATGAGTTGTTGGCCAGAAGAGCCCCCATGAAAACCCCCCAAAAAACCCCAAGACTATAACCAAGGCTATTTGTTGCTCTCTACAAATTAATGGTAAGGCTGTAATTGCTGAAGACAACACCTACATAACTCACTGAACGTGGAGAAATCTAGCAGGTGTCTAATAAGAGCCTTCACTCCTACTGACTAGTGTTTACTACTCTTCACACTAACAGAGGAGAAATGTGAATACCATCTTAGTTACATACCCTGAGATCTATAATGGGGGCATGCCTGCAAGATGTGTTAATGTAACATCTCACTATTGAGTGAAAGTAACCAACCACTATTTGATTGGAATTAAAGAGACTAGAATGACCATGGACCTATGAGAAAACCAAACACTACTATTCAGCTAAACTAACATAGCAATGTCTCCTGACAACATTCTGCTATAGTCATAGACCAGTGACACAGACATGTCTGATAAGAAAGACAGAAGTCATAAATCAAGCAGACCTGTTTGACAAAGATCCAGCAAAGCTGAGTCACATGATGGCCTCCATGCCATCTTTGGTTTTCATCTCCACCTGTTGCACATTTGGGAGACTTTTAGTATGTATACAACTTGGGGATATTGAATTGATAGAAAACTTCTAATGAATCATGTCTTTCCAGGAATGCTATTTCTAAACTTCCCTGAGACCGTCCTGAGCATACTATTCCCCCACATTAGAGAGATATCCTTATCTACTTAGAGGTCTTCCTTATGCCTTGGAGGTTGTGACACACATAAAGAAGCCAGAAGTCTCTTTATGAGGCTATGTGACATTCAAGAAACATCTGTCCCTATATTTATCCATGAACAAGACATTCAAAACAAAGTAAACTGAAAAAGGTCAACAAGATTCCGCAGGCTAGAAGAGTTGGCCACAGATCAGATTGCGTCTTCCTACTATACACTCAGAAATCTATGGCATATACAGCAGCAAAGTTAGGTGAGCTGAAGTTACCTCTGCCCTACACAGAAACTGACATTGATGAACAAAGAATGAAGTGGAAGATGATCAAAGAATGCAACATCAGGATCCCCCCTTTCTTAGAAAGTTGGCATGTGCAGAGTCACCTTGGTGTCATATGACCAAGGAACAACAGAATGCCAGGATTCGACATATGAACAAATTCTATAAAGAAATAAAATGGAAACATTGTATTATGCCAGAATTTGAATACAGCAGCTTTGTCCTGAGGATATTTCTTGGGCACTCTGACTATTAAGAGTTACCAATACACTGCTTGGGACATGGCAGAATGCCAGGGAGAGTTTGATGATTGTTTTGGTCTAATGTCCTTGTAGCCACAAAAACAACTAGCCAGAGAACAGCTTGTTAGATTTTTAGAAATTGGCTTATGGAGCTGATAAGTAAAACTGGTTATCAAAGATAACTGTTCATCAATGAAAACGGTAACTCTATCCTGTCATAGTTTATTAATGATGACTAAAAGAGGAGCAAAAGGAAGTGAAACACATGTCCAAAAACAAAACAAAAAAATGATATAATCTATGTTTTGGAATACATGAATGTATCCCTACTTACTAAATTCTGTATAACTGAGAAAGCACTCTGGCTGACAGATAGTCAGGATGCAAGATTCTCCAGATCACCATGGTCTGGCTCATTTCCTTCCCTCTCCAACTTCTTATATTCTCTGCTGGGACCTGTGTCTCCACCAGGAATATGCTTCCTCTCTGTCCATCTCTCCTAAAAAAAAACACTAAGAAGTGTCCTGAGTCCGATTCTTCCTGTCACTTCCCTTGTATCCACCCATCTTCAGGCCCTGTCCTCATTCAGAGCTGGACTCTGGCAGATCAGTATCTTAATCAGCCAACATCAAAGAAGCTTCCTAAAAGGAGCTGGGAACTAATACAGAGACTGGACACTTAGAACACTCAGTCTTAAATGGAATGTTTCCATCAAATCCCTCACCTTGGGACTCAAATCTTCAGAAGAGAAGGGGGAAAGACAGAAAAAGCCAAGGGGGATAGAAGACATCAAGGAAACGAAGGCCTTTTACACAAAGGAGGACTGGTGCCTATGAATTCACAGAGATTGGCAGCATACACAGGGTCTTTACAGGTCTAAGCCAAATAGTCTCAG